AACATTTTGGGAATTCAAGGGATTTGCACAAAATTTACTAATTTACTTTATTTAGACAAAAAATAACATTTTTATTAAAGTTTCTTTAAATTTAACACAATTTTTTCAAATTTCCCTTTCCGGGATTTTTCTAAAACATTTGGGAATTTGAGGGATTTAAACAAAATTTAAAGTTTTGCTTAATTTTTATTTAAAAACAACATTATTACTAAATTTTCTATAAATTTAACCCAATTTCTTTAAATTTCCCTTTCTGGGATTTTTATGAAACATTTTGGGAATTTAGGGGATTTACTTAAAATTTATTAATTTACTACTTAAATTACTCAAGAAATAACATTTTCTTTTATTTTTCATAACATGTTACCCATTTTTTCGAAATTTCCCTTTCTGGGATTTTAACAAAAGATTTTGGGAATTCCGGCGATCTATGCAAAATTTATAGATTTTGTTTATTTTGATTAGAAATGTTGTCGTTATTATGTTTAAGTTAAATTTTTCAAAATTTCCCTTTCTGGGATTTTGGTTAAACATTTTGGGAATTCTGGGGATTTAGGGAGAATTTACAGATTGGGTTTGTTTTACATGAAAATAGAATTTTGCATTCATTTTTAGTGAAATTTTACTAATTTTATAGCATTTTTAAAAAATCTCAATTTTTGGAGATTTTTAAAAATTTTTTTAGGTATTCAAGGGATTGTTGTTATTAAGAAATTAAAGAAGTTTTTAAGCGGTTTTCAAGAATTTTAGGGGAAATATGGAGGATTTTGTTGAAGAATTAAATTGTTTTGAAATTAGTTTTAAAAATTATGTAAGTTTTGTGACTTTTTGAAAATATTTTTTAATGATTTATGTTTATTTTTGGAATTATTTAAACAATAATTATTACAAAAACTATTAATCTTTTGCTTAAACATTAAAGAAAAGAAATCGTTAGATAAAAAAAAACGTACATTTGACGTGTATTAAGCAATCAAAATGAAAACAATATCTTTAACAAAAATGACTTAAGTAAATGGCAAGTTACAAGATGCTAAACGATGAAAAAAGTAAATTTAAATAAATAAACAATTTATATTATAAAGCAATGTAAAATGAGTTTAAGTAAATAAATGAAATTAAATCAATATTAAGAAAGTAATAAAAAGACTAGGGTTTCAATTTTAAAGTTTTAATGGATTTTTTTTTTTTACAAAATTTTATTAAGGAATTATTCCTTTCAACTTTAGCCAGTTTTATTAATTTGACTTTGAACTTGTTTTGTTTGTTAAAAAAAAACATTTGTCTTTTAAATTAATTTTAATTTTTACATTGAACTTCAGTTATATCAGTTGCAAATTATTATTTTTTACAACCAACAAAACAGGTAATATATATTTTTAATTAGACACCTAAGCCTCCTTTAACAACTTTAATAAAAAAGCTTTATATGTATAAAGTTTTAGAACAAAATTTACTTTAGTTTCTTTAGGTTAAGGTGTAACTGCTAAACAACAACAACTACCTACAGCTATATAAAGAAAATAAAACAGAAATTTTGCAAAAAAATATTTAAAAATAAGATGTATTTAAAAAAAAAAACCTGCTTGTGGTGACCACACGAGTTTCCCACAGATGATTCATAAAGACGACGACTACGTTTATTAGGAACTTAAAAACAACAACTCTAGAAGTTTGTTTTGTTATTGCTTTTAATTAGCAAAATTTCAAAGTTCAACTGAGCAGCCTAAAGAGTATAAAGAAATAAGCTAAATAAATAAACACAATGAAAGCGTTAAGCGACAAAAATTAGTAAAAAAAAATACAAGAAATGGAAAAAGTCACTTTCTGGGATTTTAAAACAAGATTTGGGGATTTTGCACTAGAAATACCAAATATAAAGGATTTCTCTTAAATTTAATAAAATTTCCCATTCTGGGATTTTTGTTAAATATTTTGGGAATTCCAGGGATTTAAACAAAATTATTAAATTTTGTTTTATTTTGTCAAGAGATAAGAATTTTATTAATTTTTCTTTAAATTTAACACAATTTTTCGAAATTTTTCTCTCTGGGATTTTTGTTAAACATTTTGGGAATTCAAGGGATTTACACAAAATTTACTAATTTCCTTAATTTTGTCAACAAATAACATATTTAGTGCAAAAATTAACACAATTTTTCGAAATTTCCCTTTCTTGAGCAATTCTATAAATTTTTCTTTAAATTTCTCACAATTGTTCAAAATTTCCCTTTATGGGAATTTTATGGAACAATTTGGGAATTCAGGGGATTTAATAAAATTTACTAAATTTGCTTTATTTTGTCAAGAAATATCATATTTAGTAATTTTTTGCTAAAATTAACACAATTTTTCAAAATTTCCCTTTTCTGGGATTTTTGTTAAACATTTTGGGAATTCTAGGGATTTACACAAAACTAACAATATTTGCTTTATTATGTCAAGAAATAAGAATTCCATCATTTTTCTTTAAATTTAAAACAATTTTTCGAAATTTTCCTTTCTGGGATTTTTGTTACACATTTTGGGAATTCAAGGTATTTACACAAAACTGACAAATTTTGCTTTATTTTGTCAATAAATAACAAAAAATTTAAATTTTATTAATTTTTGTTAAACATTTTGGGAATTCAAGGGATTTTACAAAATTGACAGTTTTACTTTATTTTCATTTAGAAACAACATTTTTAATAAGTTTTCTTTAAATTTAACAAGAATTTACGAAATTTCCCTTTTTGAGATTTTTATTAAACATTTTGGGAATTCAAGAGATTTACATAAAATTGACAAATTTTGCGTTATTTTGTAAAGAAATAACCATTATATTCATTTTTCTTTAAATTTAACACAATTTTTCGAAATTTTCCTTTCTGGGATTTTAAAAAAACTTTTAAGGAATTCACGGGATTTGAGTAAAACTCAAAAACTGACTTAATTTTATATAAGAAATACATTGTTAATGAAGTTCTCTTAAAAGTTAGGTATTATAAGTTTTTGGGATTTTGGAAAACTTTTTGGGAATTCGCAGGATTAAGGTAAAACTAACAAAGTTCCTCTATTTTGCTCAAGAATTTTAATTTTGAGTAAAATTTCTTTAAAATAACATGATTTTAACTTCTGGGATTTTTGAAATACTTTTTGGGAACTCACGGTATTTTACAAAAACTCAATTATTTCTCTTATTATGTTATAGAAATATGATTTTTATTGATATATCCTTAAAACTACAGAAAATTACTTTCCTAGGAATTTAAGAAAACTTTTTGGGAATTCGAAATTTAAATAAAACTCCTAAATTTCCTCGAATTTGTTAAAAAAAACTATAATTTTCATTGAAATCTTTTAAAACTTTCATTAATTTTCATTTCTGGGATTTTAAAAAACTTTTTAGGAATTCATGGGATTTGAGTAAAACTCAAAAATTCACTTAATTTTATATAAGAATTACATTGTTAACGAAGTTATCTTAAAATTTAGGTATTTTAAGTTTCTGGGGGTTTTTAGAAAACTTTTTAGGAATCCAAGGGATTTAACTAAAACTCACAGATTTTCTCTATTTTGTTCAAAAATTGTAATTTTGAGAAAAATTCCGTTAAAATTACATGATATTATTTTCTGGGATTTTAGGAAACTTTTTGGGAATTCACGGTATTTGAGTAAAATTCATAAAATTTACTTTTTTTTGTGTAAAAACTTGATTTTTCACTAAAATTTGTTAAAAATTTTATAAATTTGATATTCTAGGATTTTAGAAAATCATTATGGGAATTCGCGGGATTTGAGTAAAACTCGCAAATTTTCTATTTTTTATGTAACAAATATGATTTTTCATTAAAATTTGTTTCAAATTTAAGAAATTTCACTTTCTGGAATTTTAGAAAACATATTGGGAATTCACGGGATTTGTGTAAAACTCAAAAATTCACTTAAATTTATATAAGAATTACATTGTTAATGAAATACTCTTGAAATTTAGGTATTTTAGGTTTCTGGGATTTGTGAAAAACTTTTTGGGAATTCACGGGATTTGAAGAAAATGTATAGATTAAGGCGGGATTAAGATTAAACTCACAAATTTCCTCTATTTTGTTAAAATAATTCACAATTTTTGTTTTTTTATTGTTATTTATTATTAATACTTGACAAATTAATAACAGATTTTATTTTAATTTTATACATAGATTCAGACTAATCTGGTGTCTGTTATCTGCTGCCACAATTTATTGCGTTTTTCACTGACGTCGGGAGTTTCTATATCATGAAAACTTTTTTTACGCCATTCCTCAAAGGCCGGTTGGGTTTGAGACTTCAAGCTTTGCAGGGTATTTAGCAGAGATGATAAAAAGCCAGGAAAACCCTGCGAGGAGGGGATAGCTGCATTATCAGCGGCTTTTGCTGCAGTTAGGCACGAAATTGTTATGATTAAAACCAAGAAAATATGTTTAGTTGAAGACATTTTATAAAATTTTTGACAAAAAAAATAGTTTTAAACAAAATTTGCTGCTAAACACGCTGAAAAGAGGGTATACACTGCTTAGTAGATAATTTAGGCTTTATGACAATTATAAGCAAAAAAATTAAAAAAAAAAAAAAACAAAACAATTATTATTTAAAAGATTAGATTAAATGGATTTTTATGAGTAATTTTTATAATTTACAACAAAAGCCTAAAAGTAGGCTTTAGATTTTAATTAACTTGTATCAAGAATAAAATTTTTTGTTATTTGTTTTAAAAAACGCCTAAAAATAGGATTTTTTTATTTGGTTGTTAACTTAATTATCTTTTTGAAAAGATTTTTTATCTTAAATTCTTTAAATTAAAAAAAAAAATAAAATCTTGTTGTTTTTGTAACACACCCTTTAACATGTTAAAACAAATTTATCATTTATTTAAAAACAAATAATAACAAACCTGTACCAATTATGTCACTTATGTTTTATATTTTAATGAAAAAAATCTATAAATAAGAGCTTTTTTAAGAAAAATTTTGGCAATTTCTGTTTGAATATTAAAGAAATAACTGATAAAGAAAGAAAAAAAAACGCAATTAATTAATTGAAAAAAGAACATAAATATAAAATGAAACTTTTTATATTAACCCTAATAATAGCCCTAAAAGGGTTAAGTCAGGCGCAAGAGGACTTAACTCAAGTAAGTACTCTGATCCACATAATCTAACAAGAAAAAAATGATCTTAATAATCTTTCTCTCCAGCTTTGTTGGGAGCAACCTTTGGGTCATGTCTTGCCCCATCCTTTAGACTGTGGCCGCTATATTGTTTGCAATGAGGAGTTAAAGCCTTCGGTACATAACTGTGAATTGGGTTTTCATTTTGATGCCTTGCGTAAGGTGTGCAATTGGCCTGAATATGCCAATTGTCAAGTGGCCACCCCTACTCAAGTGACTGCTGCGCAGCAAATCGTAACAACTGTCATGCCATGGCATTCTTCTTTAATAGCTTTAGATGTCTTAACCGGTGAAACTGTAGATCCTCTCACTCACTATGATCCTGATAATGTTTTATGTCGTCATTATGGTGCCTATTTCTTGCCACATCCTCAAAAATGTCGTTCCTATTATTTGTGTGCTTATGGTCATATGCATGAACACTCATGCGGTGTGGGTACTCTCTGGAATTATCTTACTCAACAATGTGTTCTTAATCATAAGGCTGAATGTTATCATTTGGCTCACGAAGAAGAACAGGAAATCGAAAATAGTTTAGCCACTAGCACGGACAATCCTTTAATGGTCTGTTATCCGCTAAGCACTACAATAGCACCCACTAGGCCGTCACGTACTACAAACACCACACCTTTCCCGACCCAAACACCACGCACATCTAAGCCCAGTAGGCCCACAGCTGCCACACCAACACGTTATCCCTCCACAAAACGTCCCAACTCTACAAATCCTTATCATATTGTATGCCCTGCCAAACGTCAGAGTTATGCTGCTCATCCCAAAGATTGCGGTAAATACTTTATTTGTATAATGGGTACACCGGTAGAAACCTCTTGTCCGGTTGGTCTTTTCTGGGATTCACAAAAGGAATATTGTGATTTGCCCGAAAATGTTAAGTGTTTCAGTAAATAATATAAACATTTTTAAATAAATAAATAACAAAGAATTTTATATAACAAAGCTAAATTTTATAGATTATAGAAAGAACGAGACTAACGACCATAGTAGGCTCTGTAAGGACTATACACTATACTAATTTATTGTATAAGGCTTGCCTAAATTATAGACTATAGACTAGACAATAGACTAGACTATAGACTAGACTATAGACTAGACTATAGACTATACTATAGACTAGACTATAGACTAGACTATAGACTAGACTATAGACTAGACTATAGACTAGACTATAGACTAGACTATAGACTAGACTATAGACTAGACTATAGACTAGACTATAGACTAGACTATAGACTAGACTATAGACTAGACTATAGACTAGACTATAGACTAGACTATAGACTAGACTATACTATAGACTAGACTATACTATAGACTAGACTATACTATAGACTAGACTATAGACTAGACTATAGACTAGACTATAGACTAGACTATAGACTAGACTATAGACTAGACTATAGACTAGACTATAGACTAGACTATAGACTAGACTATAGACTAGACTATAGACTAGACTATAGACTAGACTATAGACTAGACTATAGACTAGACTATAGGCTAGACTATAGACTAGACTATAGACTAGACTATAGACTAGACTATAGACTAGACTATAGACTAGACTATAGACTAGACTATAGACTAGACTATAGACTAGACTATAGACTAGACTATAGACTAGACTATAGACTAGACTATAGACTAGACTATAGACTAGACTATAGACTAGACTATAGACTATAGACTAGACTATAGACTAGACTATAGACTAGACTATAGACTAGACTATAGACTAGACTATAGACTAGACTACAGACTAGACTATAGACTAGACTATAGACTAGACTATAGACTAGTCTATAGACTTGACTATAGACTAGACTATAAATTAGACTATAGACTAGACTATAAACTAGACTATAGACTAGACTATAGACTAGACTATAGACTAGACTATAGACTAGACTATTTGCTATTATTATAATATTAAATTTTTGAATAACTATTCTATATCAAGCTCTTTAAAAATATTTCTTATTGCTTATTAAAACATAATTAACAATAGTAGATTTTCAAATATTCTCGGTTACAATCTCAAGAACACTTGTTATTCTAATCTCTTACGACTTGTTAAGGCACATGTTCAAATCTTCAGCTGTCAAATTTTTTGATTGACCAGTTCAATGTGTTTGTGAAAAGATATATCGACAAAAATAAATACTCTCTTATATATGTATAATGTTTATAATATTTTCAACTAATTTAAAAAAGTATATCAATCAAAAAATTTTTTTATAAAAATGGCCAAAATTTGCAAGTAAATAGCGAAAAAACAAACATATGAATTGATATTCATGCAAAGCGTGAGTCAACAAAGTTTATTTTTGAAAATAACACTGATAGTCTAGAAACGTCATAAAGTCTAAACACGATGAAGAATTTTGTGAAAATTCAAAATAGTAGTATTTTTAGTACATTTTCTTTAATGTGAAAAAATAATTAAATTTTTTGGCCAAAACGAGATATTTGAAGAAGAACTAACTAACTAACTAACTAACTAACTAACTAACTAACTAACTAACTAACTACTACTAACTAACTAACTAACTAACTAACTAACTAACTAACTAACTAACTAACTACTAACTAACTAACTAACTAACTAACTAACTAACTAACTAACTAACTAACTAACTAACTAACTAACTAACTAACTAACTAACTAACTAACTAACTAACTAACTAACTAACTAACTAACTACTAACTAACTAACTAACTAACTAACTAACTAACTAACTAACTAACTAACTAACTAACTAACTAACTAACTAACTAACTAACTAACTAACTACTAACTAACTAACTAACTAACTAACTAACTAACTAACTAACTAACTAACTAACTAACTAACTAACTAACTAACTAACTAACTACTAACTAACTAACTAACTACTAACTAACTAACTAACTAACTAACTAACTAACTAACTAACTAACTAACTAACTAACTAACTAACTAACTAACTAACTAACTAACTAACTAACTAACTAACTAACTAACTAACTAACTAACTAACTACTACTACTAACTAACTAACTAACTAACTAACTACTAACTACTAACTACTAACTAACTAACTAACTAACTAACTAACTAACTAACTAACTAACTAACTAACTAACTAACCTAACTAACTAACTAACTAACTAACTACTAACTAACTAACTAACGAACTAACTAACTAACTAACTAACTAACTAAACTAACTAACTAACTAACTAACTAACTACTAACTAACTAACTAACTAACTAACTAACTAACTAACTAACTAACTAACTAACTAACTAACTAACTAACAACTAACTACTAACTACTAACTACACTAACTAACTAACTAACTAACTAACTAACTAACTAACTACTAACTACTAACTAACTAAACTAACTAACTAACTACTAACTAACTAACTAACTAACTAACTAACTAACTAACTAACTAACTAACTAACTAACTAACTAACTAACTAACTAACTAACTAACTAACTACACTAACTAACTAACTAAACTAACTAACTAACTAACTAACTAACTAACTAACTAACTAACTAACTACTAACTAACTAACTAACTAACTACTAACTCACTAACTAACTAACTACTAACTACTAACTAACTAACTAACTACTAACTAACTAACTAACTAACTAACTAACTAACTAACTAACTAACTAACTAACTAACTAACTAACTAACTAACTACTAACTAACTAACTAACTAACTAACTACAACTAACTAACTAACTACTAACTACTAACTAACTAACTAACTAACTACTAACTAACTAACTAACTAACTAACTAACTAACTAACTACTAACTAACTAACTAACTACTAACTAACTAACTAACTAACTAACTACTAACTAACTAACTAACTAACTAACTAACTAACTAACTAACTAACTAACTAACTAACTAACTACTAACTAACTAACTAACTAACTACTAACTAACTACTACTAACTAACTAACTAACTAACTAACTAACTAACTAACTAACTAACTAACTAACTACCTAACTAACTAACTAACTAACTAACTAACTACTACTAACTAACTAACTAACTAACTAACTAACTAACTAACTACTAACTAACTAACTAACTAACTAACTAACTAACTAACTAACTAACTACTAACTAACTACTAACTAACTAACTAACTACTACCTAACTACTAACTAACTAACTAACTAACTAACTAACTAACTAACTACTAACTAACTAACTAACTAACTACTAACTAACTAACTACCTAACTAACTAACTAACTAACTAACTAACTACTAACTAACTACTAACTAACTAACTAACTAACTACTAACTAACTAACTAACTACTAACTAACTAACTAACTAACTAACTAACTAACTAACTACAACTAACTAACTAACTACTAACTAACTAACTAACTAACTAACTACTAACTACTAACTAACTACTAACTAACTAACTAACTACTACTAACTAACTAACTACTAACTAACTAACTACTAACTACTAACTACTAACTAACTAACTAACTAACTACTAACAACTAACTAACTAACTAACTACTAACTAACTACTAACTAACTAACTAACTAACTAACTACTACTAACTACTAACTAACTAACTAACTAACTAACTACTAACTACTAACTAACTAACTACTAACTAACTACTAACTAACTACTAACTAACTAACTAACTAACTAACTAACTAACTAACTAACTACTAACTACTAACTAACTAACTAACTAACTAACGAACTAACTAACTAACTAACTAACTAACTAACTAACTACTAACTAACTAACTAACGAACTAACTAACTAACTAACTAACTAACTAACTAACTAACTAACTAACTACTAACTACTAACTAACTAACTACTAACTAACTAACTAACTAACTAACTAACTAACTAACTACTAACTAGCTAACTAACTAACTAACTAACTAACTAACTAACTAACTACTAACTAACTAACTAACTAACTAACTAACAACTAACTAACTAACTAACTAACTACTAACTAACTACTAACTATACTACTACTAACTAACTAACTAACAACTAACTACTAACTAACTAACTAACTAACGTAACTAACTAACTAACAAACCAACTAACTAACTAACTAACTAACTAATCTTTAGAAACTTTCGTTTTGAATGCTAATTATTTTCTTAGATAAAGAAGGAATAAATTGTTTAACGAAAAATATAAAAAATTTAATAAAAAACATTTTCAATTCAACTAGCCTAAGATAACTAATACTACAACAAACTGTACGAAAAAAAGAAGTACCAAAATTTAAAACAAGTTAATAACAAGAATTTTAAACTGCTATCTTTTAATTGTTTAGATTTTTTGCAAAACAAATAGGAAATTAGAAAAAAAAAACTACAAAAAAATGTGTATTTAAGATAATTTCCACAAATTGGGGTGTAAGATACCTTTGTAGTTAGACCAAAAATAAAAATTCAATCAATAAAATTTGTACTTTTTCGTTCATTCAAAATTATCAATGATGGCATTATTGTTTAGCTAATCTTGTCAATTGATTAAAATGTAAAAAAATAAAAATACATGTTTAACAATCGTTTTTTTTTTTGGAACTTATTATTAGTTTTTGGAAAATTTTATCAAAAAAAACCAATTTGGTTTTGATTTCGTAAATACCGTGATTTTTAGTATTTAAACCACTCAAGTGGTAACAAGAAATCAGTCACAATTTGTCCGGTGTCATCAGCTGAATACGAATTAAAATCATAATAAAAAAAATTAAACGGAGTAAAGTTTTGAAATGAAAGGTGTGTGTCAAAAAGAAAAAAAAAGTGCAAAAAAAGGACTAAATTTAAAGAAATAATAATAATTAGGCAAAAATTTGGATATTTAAAAAAAATCATTAAGTTAAAAAAGTAGTATTTTTTCTACTAAGAAAATTGTCAAAATTCTTCTATATTCATCAAATTTTAAACGTATTTTAATTTATAATAATTTTAACACGAAAATTGTGAAAAAAATATTAATATTAAAAAATATTAATTTTAAAAAAGTAGTATTTCTACTACCTTTTAACAACATAACAAAATAATTAAATTTTTAATAAAAAATCAAAATATTAAAATTTTTAATAAGTTCTATATAAACATTTAGTAAAAATAAACCATTTTAAAAAAGTAGTATTTTTACTACCTTTTTATAATATATCATAATAATGGAATTTTTCATCAAAAATCCTTCTAATTTAATTTTAAATGAGTTTTATATGACATTTTTGTTAAAATGAGCAAGTTTAGCACATTTTAAAAAAGTAGTATTTTTACTACCTTTTAATCACATAACAAAATAATCAATTGTTAATAAAAAATACTTCTATTATGATTTCCAAAAAATTTTGAGGAATTTTAACGAAAATAAGTAAATTTGTTAGATTTTAAAAAAGTAGTATTTTTATTACTTTTTTACAACATAAGAAAATAATGAAATTTTTCTTAAAAACACATTTCATTATAATTTCAAATAAGTTTATTGAGTAATTTTATGTAAAATAAGAACTTTTTGACACATTTTAAAAAAGTAGTATTTTTACTACCTTTTAACCACATAACAAAATATTGAAATTGTTCATAAAAAATCATTCCATTATAATTTAAAATAAGTCTTTTGAGACACTTTAATAAAAATAATTAAATTAGACACATTTTAAGAATGTAGTATTTTTACTACCTTTTAATCACATAACAACATAATGAAATTTTTCGCAAAAAATCATTCCATTCTGATTTCAAATAAGTTTTTTTGAGAAAATTTAATAAAAATAATTAAATTAAACACATTTTTAAAAAGTAGTATTTTTACTACCTTTTAATCACATAACAAAGTAATGAAATTTTTCATAAAAACATATTTCATTATAATTTCAAATAAGTTTTTTTGAGAAAATTTAATAAAAATAATTAAATTAGACACATTTTAAAAAAGTAGTATTTTTACTACCTTTTAACAACATAACAAAATAATGGAATTTTTAGTAAAAAATCAAACTTTTCAATTTTAAATAATTTCTATATAAAATTTAAGTAAAAAATAAGCAATGTTAGAAATTTTAAAAAAGTAGTATTTTTACTAACTTTTTTAATAAAACAAAATAGTGGTATTTTTCATAAAAAATCATTCCATTATAATTTCAAATAATTTATGTGAGGAATTTTAAGACATATAAATAAATTTGTTAGATTTTAAAAAAGTAGTATTTTCACTACCTTTTTTAATACAACAAAATAATGGAAATTTTCATGAAAAATTCATTATATTTTTATTTTAAATAAGTTTCATGAGAAAATATAGTAGAAATAATTAAATTAGACACATTTTAAAAAGGTAGTATTTCTACTACCTTTTTGCAGCATAAACAAAATAATGGAATTTTTGATAAAAAAATCAAACTATTTTAATTTTAAATAAGTTCTATATGAAATTTTAGTAAAAATAAGCAATTAAAAAAATGTAGTATTTCTACTACCTTTAATAGAATAACAAAATTATGAGATATGTTTTTTTGTTTATAAAAAATTAAAATGTTTTAATATTTTTTTTTATGTTATTCCTCTTTTTAGGTCTACAAATATCAACAGGATGTCTCCTGCTTATGGCTGCCGTTTTCGGTAAAGCTTCAGCTATCTATAGCATGAGTGAGACTTGTGAATATAGACCCGATGGTTTTATTGCCGATCCAAATTCTTGTGAAAGCTATGGTTATTGTAAAAATAACCAGTTAGTGGGTACTGGTAAATGTCCCGCTGGCTATCTGTATAATCCTAGACTGGGTATTTGCGATAGTCCCGCTAATGTCAAATGCGTTACTGATAGTAAGGATGCTTGCTTGTATGAGCCTGATAACACCTTTGTAGCTGATCCAACCAATTGCAATGGTTATTGCTATTGTAGTAATAAAAATGCCTCTTGTACAACTTGTCCCGGTTCCCAGCTCTTTGATAGTGAAAAGATAAAATGTGTATATGCATCAGCTAAGCCTAAGTGTTCTGCTGATTCGATTTGCCGTTTGGTACCCAATGGGGTATTTGTTGGTAAACCTGACAACTGTGGAGAATACATTGGTTGCCTCGATGGCTTAGGTACTGATGGTAAATGTACAAATAGTTACTTTAATAAACAACTTGGTGGGTGTCAAACAACCAATCCTTGCATAGCTCCTAGTCCAGTTGACATAGGTCCGGGTGTTTTAAAGAATTTAGATGACAACCCCTCGGTATGTAAATTTACTCCTGGTATAGGTGTTGCTTCTGAAGCTAATCCAGTATTTGTTTCTGATGGCCAAACTTGTATGGGTTATTACAAATGTACATCTAGAGATGGACCCGGCACTTGGGGCAAATGTCCAAAGGGTTTACATTTTAATGGTCAAAAATGTGTTACCCCCTATACATTCAAATGTAAATATGACCGTTGTGGTAATTTGAATCAGACATTTGTTGGCACTATTGATGCAGAGTGTAAAAAATACTTAATTTGTAAAAATGAAACCTCACAAGGAAAGACTTATGGTTATGAAGAATTTAAAGGGTTACCATGCACTGATGAGAATAATCCATACTTTAACGAATTTACTGGACAATGTGAGAAAACATCACCTACAACCAGTACTTATCAACTTTGTACGGCGCAATCAACCTAATACCTAAATATTTATTTTATATAGGAAATGTAAATGCAAAAAAAAAAAACAAAAATAAAAATCTATCAATAACTTTACACTGCTAATTTAATTTGAATTTTTTTCTTAATTATCGTTTACCTCCTAAAAGGTAGTAGATGTCTTTTTCTGCTACTAAATGTCAAATAATCGCAATAAAATCGCAATATTTATGTATCTTAAACAAAATTTCATTAAATCCTTGTAATAACAGGAAAAAGAGTAAAAATAATAAATTTAACTTTCAGTTAAAAAAAAGTAGTATTTCTACCTTACCTTTTAACAATGCAACAAAATAATGAAATTTTTCATTAAAAAATATCATTTCATTATAATTTTAAACAAATTTTCTTACATATATTTGTTAAAAAATGCAATTTTGTCATATTTTAAAAAGAGTAGTATTTTTACTACCTTTTAACAACATAACAAAATAAAGAAATTTTTCATAAAAAATTGCTCTATTTTAATTTTAAAAAAGTTTTATAGAAATTTTCGTAAAAAAAGCCATATTTCCAATTTTAAAAAAAGTAATATTTCTACTACCTTTTCTTAATATAACAAAATAAAGAAATTATTCATAAAAAATTTACTACATATTAATTTTAAATAAGTTTTATAAGAAATTTTAGTAAAAATAAGTCATATTTACAAATTTTAAAAAAAAAGTAATATTTCTACTACCTTTTCTTAGTATAACAAAGTAAAGAAATTTTTCATAAAAAATTCGCTTCATATTAATTTGAAGTAAATTTAATAAGAAATTTTGGTACAAATTAGCTATTTTTTACATTTTAAAATAGTAGTATTTCTACTGCCTTTGTTAATATAACAAAATAATAAAATTTTTCCATATTAACTTGAAATAAGTCTTATAAAAAATTTTAGTAAAAGGAAGCAATTTTGTTGCATTTCAAATAAAGTAGTATTTTTACTACCTTTTTTTAATATAACAAAATAATGAAATTTTTCATAAAAAATTCACTCTATATTAATTTGAAATAAGTTTTATGAGAAACTTTAGTAAAAGAAAGTAATTTTGTTGCATTTAAAAAAAGTAGTATTTCTACGTACTTTTCTTAATATAAAAAAATGAAATTTTTCATAAGAAATCACTTTATTTTAATTTTTAGTTTTTTTTAGTAAAAAGAAGCAATTTTGTCACATTTTAAAAAAGTATTATTTCTACTACCTTTTCTTAATATAACAAAATAATGAAATCTTTCGTAATAAATCACTTTATTTTAATTTTTAGTTTTTTTTTTTAGTAAAAAGAAGCAATTTTGTCATATTTTAAAAAAGTAGTATTTTTACTACCTTTTTTTAATATAACAAAATAATGCAATTTGTCATAAAAAATTCACTCTATATTAATTTGAAATAAGTTTTATGAGAAACTTTAGTAAAAGAAAGTAATTTTGTTGCATTAAAAAAACTAGTATTTTTACGTACTTTTCTTAATATAAAAAATAATAAAATTTTTCATAAGAAATTACTTTATTTTAATTTTTAGTTTTTTTTTAGTAAAAAGAAGCAATTTTGTCACATTTTAAAAAAGTAGTATTTCTACTACCTTTTCTTAATATAACAAAATAATGAAATTTTTCATAATAAATCACTTTATTTTAATTTTTAGTTTTTTTTTAGTAAAAAAAGCAATTTTGTCACATTTTAAAAAGTAGTAGGTATTTTTACTACCTTTTCTTAATATAACAAAATAATGAAATTTGTCATAAAAAATTCACTCTATATTAATTTGAAATAGGTTTTATGAGAAATTTTAGTAAAAAGAAGAAATTTTGTTGCATTTCAAAAAAAGTAGTATTTTTACTACCTTTTCTTAATATAACAAAATAATGAAATTTTTCATAAAAAATTTACTACATAATAATTTGAAATAAGTTTTATAAAAAATTTTAGTAAAGAGAAGCATTTTTGTCACATTTTAAAAAAGTAGTATTTCTACTACCATTTCTTAATATAACTAAATAATGAAATATTTCATAAAAAACTCACTCTATTTTAATTTTCAATAAGTTTTATAAGATATTCTAGTTAAAATAAGCCATATTTCCAAATTTGAAAAAAGTAGTATTTCTACTACCTTTTCTTAATATAACAAAATAATTTTAAATAAGTTTTATAAGAAATTCTAGTAAAAATAAGCCATATTTCCAAATTTGAAAATAGTAGTATTTCTACTACATTTTCTTTATATAACATAAGAATGAAATTGTTCATAAAAAATACTAGTTTTAAATAAGTTTTATACGAAATTTAAGTAAAAAGAAGCAATATTGTTACATTTTAAAAAAGTAGTATGTATATCTACTACCTTTTAACACTATAACAAAATAAAGAAATTTTTCATTGAAAATTCACTTTTTAATTTTAAATGAGTTTTATAAGCAATTTTTGTAAAGAGAAGCAATTTTGTCACATTTTAAAAAGGTAGTATTTTGACTACCTTTTTTCGCGGTATAAGAAAATAATGGAATTTTTCGTTAAAAATTTATTATATTTTAATTTTAAATAAATCGATGGGAAATTTTAGCAATTTTGTCATGTTTTAAAAAAGTAGTATTTCTACTACCTTTTAACAAAATTAATAAATAATTTTTTTTATTTATTTAAAGAAATGTTTACATTTTACTTCCAAAATATGTTCTTAACTCTTAGCTCTAGTTTTTGACATAAAAGATTTTTAGCAAAATTTTCTTAAAATTCCTTCTTTTTATTAAATTTAATGATTTTTATAACAAAAAGTTCAATATCAGTAACTAAAACCTTGTACGAGGTCATATCGCAACACCGCAATCAATGGAGAAGAAAAAAAGTTTCCAATGAAATTTTACGGTATTTATCTTTTACAGAAAACATCAACTTTAAACATTATCTTTATAATATATCTAGAGATAAAAAACCAAAAAATTTCAAAAATAAATCAAAATAATTGAAAAATAATAAATTGAATGGAACAGCAAGAATTTTTTGCTTATTTAAAGATAGAAAATCTACAAACAGAAGCATCAGTAGTGGAAATTACCTAGAAAATAACACACTTAAGAGCCAGAAACCCCGTCAGTAGATATTCGCCAAAAAAGGAACATTTACACAAACATCAATCAAAATGATAGGTAATATTTGAAAAAAAAAATCGTAAAGAGTTTTTTATCTAAATTTTTCAATAATTTCAGCGAAATTTGTTTTCATTTTAACCATCTCCTTGTTTGGTTTTATTTCCGGCCAACAACACATCAATGTCGATGAGTTATGTTCTTTGGCTCCCAATGCCTTAATTTTGCAGCCTAATAGCTGCTCGGATTGGCTAAGATGTCCCAGCAGTCCCGGTGCCAGCGATATGGAAGATGGTTCCTGTGTATTTGGTTTGTACTTTAACAAGAATACTGGTAAATGTGAATACAAAGATAAGGTTGTGTGTCCCTTTGAATCGAGATCGAAAAATGTGTGCGCTGGTGAAGCTGATGGTTCCTTTGTGGCCGTTAAGGATGAATGCAATGCTTATATTTACTGTAGTGAGGGTGAAGAAAATAAATCCTATTGCCCTAGCAATCTAGTATTCAATCCCATTACCAAGTCCTGTGTTACCAGAGTCAATACAAGTGTCCCGTATCGAAACCCCCAGTCGAAGGTGATGCCTTGTGCAAGTCCTTGCCCGATGGTTTGTTCTTTGCCGATAAACAGGATTGCACTAAATACAGCCTGTGTAAAAATGGTGAGCTGCAAACCTACTCCTGTAATAGTAGTCATGCTTGGGATTATATCCAGGGTGCTTGCGTCTCTATTGATAATGTGGTCTGTTTACCCTCGGCCAAGAAGCCCGAACCAGAACTTAAAGTTTGTGTCAATACCGTGGGTCCAATCTCCGATGGCATTTCCTGCAGTGGTTATTATTTCTGCAAGAAAATGTCCAACGATACACACGATCGTAAACCAGAACATTTCAATTGTCCTGCTGGTACCTTCTTCGATCAGCAGACAAATTCCTGCCGCGATCGTTTGAATGTGAAATGTACATTGAATCGTTGTGAGGGTATGGGCAATAAGTACGTGAATATGGCCGGTGATTGTAGAAAATATATTTTATGTCAAAATGGTGAACCATTTACCAATGGTACTTGTCCCAATAGCTATTACTTCGATGAACGCACTCAAGGTTGCACACCTCAGGTGGTAAATTATGCGGCTTGTATGGCTTAAGACAATGTAATAATAATAAGATGATATGTCTAATAAAAATATTGTATTGAAAATAAAAATCAGATATTTCACTGCGCGGTTTCTTTGAAAATAACATAAAACTATTTACTAAGCAATAACACAGAACTAGAAAAGAACTAGAACAGAACTAGAACAGAACTAGAACAGAACTAGAAGAACTAGAACAGAACTAGAACAGAACTAGAACTAGAACAGAACTAGAACAGAACTAGAACAGAACTAGAACAGAACTAGAACTAGAACAGAACTAGAACAGAACTAGAACAGAACTAGAACAGAACTAGAACAGAACTAGAACAGAACTAGAACAGAACTAGAACAGAACTAGAACAGAACTAGAACAGAACTAGACAGAACTAGAACAGAACTAGAACAGAACTAGAACAGAAACTAGAACAGAACTAGAACAGAACTAAACAGAACTAGAACAGAACTAGAACAGAACTAGAACAGAACTAGAACAGAACTAGAACAGAACTAGAACAGAACTAGAACAGAACTAGAACAGAACTAGAACAGAACTAGAACAAACTAGAACAGAACTAGAACAGAACTAACAGAACTAGAACCGAACTAGAACAAGAACAGAACAGAACTACAACAGAACTAGAACAGAACTAGAACAGAACTAGAACAGAACTAGAACAGAACTAGAACAGAACTAGAACAGACTAGAACAGAACTAGAACAGAACTAGAACAGAACTAGAACAGAACTAGAACAGAACTAGAACAGAACTAGAACAGACTAGAACAGAACTAGAACAGAACTAGAACAGAACTAGAACAGAACTAGAACAGAACTAGAACAGAACTAGAACAGA